CTGCACTGTCATAGCTCCTGGCCCGGCCCCCGTCGGGCGTGTGACCTGGACACACCTGCGCCTGCCAGAAGCCGCTGGGGAGGAGGCTGGGAGCTGCCAGGGGCTCTCCAGCCTGGGCCGTCTGGGGGAGGCGGGGGGGGGGCTTCTCTTGTCGAGGTGGCTGGTCATGGCCTCCTGGCTGCCAGCTGGACCCTCTGTTGTTGTTGTCCCCTAGTGCCATCTGGGCCTATATTTAGCCACATTCCTGGCCCTGCACGATCAGGTGTCTGCCATGCCACACGTCCCAGAGAGGGCCGGGCGGTGCTGACAAGCCCCGGCTGAGGGCCAAGTGGCCTCTGACCCAGGTTCTGGTGTCCGGTGCTTCCCCCAGCCCAGGCTGATCTCAGGAGAATCAGAACAGGGGACAGCTGATCACATCACTCAGTCTTCTTGGGGCTAATGGTGGGGGTACCTTCCAGGACCCCCAATGGATATCCAGGCTGAAGCCACAGATAGCACCAGACTTACCTACTCTTTTTCCCTATACACAGGCCTATGATTCAAGTTTAATTTGCAAGCGCATTTGATTAGCACCAGGGCCTGGTAATACATTGTCCTGAGCACCTGAAGTAGGTCACCTTAGGTCCTCACAGCCCCACCATGGACGGACCACAGCCCCCAGTTTGCAGATGAAGAAACAGGCTCAAAGAGACACATTCTAGGTTATGCGGGTGGTGGGGGAGGAGCCGTGACCCTCACCCCAGCTGCGTGTCATCGAGGCTCAGCTTGCACCCAGACACCCACCGAGAACCTGCTGTGCACCCAGTACAGTCGCTCTGGACACTGAGACGCCCGCAGACAATTTAGTCCCAGTCCTGCCCTTGTGGGGACCACATTCCAGCGAGGAGGGGCAGTTCAGAATGAGCGCTGAGACAGAACGCCACGCAGCGAGGCGAAACCCAAGCGCACTGGACCGGAGAGGGTCGGGGGAGGCTGCTCCGGTGGCAGCAGGCCAAGACCTGGAGGTGAGAGGGAGAAAGCATTAGGAAGCCCTGGAAGAGGGAGCCACAGGCGCGAAGGCCCTGGGGCAGGGCAGGGTAGAGGAATGGCTGGCCATGTAGGGCCGGGCAGCCAGGAGCTTCGTTTGCGCCTTACTGGAGTGGGGTGCTGCCTACCAGCTCATGAGTCACTGTCAATCCTCAGGACCTTTGCAAACAGGCCAGTGAACTATCAGCAGCTTGAAATTATGCCGGGAGCCTTACAGCATGGAAACTGGCAAGCACCGCAAATCATGGCTTCCCGCAGCAGCAGGTGGCTGAGATTTACCTGCATGCCACTGGCTCTTGGCTGGGAAGTGGGGAGCCTGAGTTTGCTTGTTAAGGAGAGGGCTCTCTCTGGCTGCTGGGTGGAGAATGGCCCCCCCAGGGGACAGCAGAGCTGATGACCAGTGGGGAAGGCTGTTTCATTGGTGCTTGTTGAGTCGTTGGGGTTTGGACCAGCCTGTGCGCATGGTGGATTCAACTGATTTGGGAAACCAACAGGCCTTGCTGAGATGACCCCACTGTGGAAGCTCAGAGCAGGGAGGTGACAGCCCTAAGCATGGCACCATGGACCCCCTCAGACCTTCAGACCTGCCAGGTCCTAGCTCCTTTCTGCCCCCTCGGTGTTTCCCCACATTGTCATGAAGATCCTTCCTGGAGTCCCAGAGGAAAGGGCTGCTTCTGAGCCCTAACTCCTGTGGGCTGGAGAGTCCCTTCCCACACCACTGTGGGCAAGAGGAGGGGTGACATGTCACCGGCATAGATGTCAGAAGGCCCAGCACCCTGTAGGCAGCTGGTGGGGCGACCCAGGCCCCCAGGAGAACCTCACTGCCCCAGGAGGGCTGCAGGGTCCCAGGCCTGCTGAATGAGCATCCAGCTCTGGGATCTGGAACCTTCCCTGGTGTAGAGAGGATGACAGTGAAATCCAGCCTGGGGGCTCAGAGGCAAGACAGCTTCCTGGGCCTTGGGCTGCTCTGGTGTGGGCCTCCTCTTGGACCTGGGGCAGGAGGGGAACAGACCTGGGTCACTTTATTCTCTCAGTGCAGGGGGAGAGGTGTTGTGTGTCTAAGCAGTGTGGGGGGAGGGATGTTGCCAGGTCTTTGCACTATGGAGGAAGGAACAATAGGCCCTGCCTGTCTTCCTGGAACTCACTCACCCCTTTGCCCACCTCCCTCCCTCCCCAATCCTCCCCAGGCCACCTTTGCCCACAGCCCAGAGCAGGGCTCAGAGAAGGGGTTGTGCTGGGGCTTCATTGCCGTTGTGATTTGGGGGGTTGTGATGGTGAGAAGGCTGCGCAGAGCTAGGCCAAGGATCATCCCCACAAACAAACACCATGCAGGTGATCTCAGGGGCCATGATGGAAGTGCCCCTAAAATGCTTGCTCAGATCCTTCCACAATTTCTGCCCCTGCGCACGCACCTGCACACATGATGTTTTGAGAAAAAACGAGACGATGCTAAATGTTCCATGTGGACTCTCAATCTTGGGCGCTGTTCTCATCTCCAGTCTGCATAGCGGGAAGCAGAAGCTGGGAGAGGTTTTGCATTTCTCCCAGCACCACACAGCTGAAGGCCTGCCTCAGGGGCAGCCCCCTGTGCATGTGGAGGTCACCTGGGAGGAGAAAGCGCCCCCCCCCCTCCCTAGGGGAGGAGGATGGGCCCTCTTGTCTCTGCTGGGGCTGCAAAGTGGGCGGGATTGGAATTCTGGATTTGAGGCCTAATCTGGCTTCATTCTACTATGCTGTGGGACTCAAGCCCCAGGAGGCCTTGTTAAGGCTTTAAAAGGGGACTTCATTGGCCATTTAATTGTGGCTCTGCCCTTGAAACTGGCTCTCACCGCTTGCTCGTGGCTCCCAGCCTCATCTTGGATTTCTCTTGCTCAAAACCCAGGGGATGAGGCTGGAAGGCCCACGCCCTGGCCCCTCAACAGTCCTGAAACTGGCCTCTCCAGCTCTGTTGACTGGTCCAGCTGTGGTGGCCTTGTCCTCTTCTCTCTAGTTTCTTGTAGCCCCAATGTAAACCCGTGTGCCCCCAAATCAGGGAAGATGGGGCCTGACATTTGCTGGGGCATTGGGGGAGGGGGCGAGGAAGAGGAGGTCCTGGAATCCCTAACCGTGGGTTCAAATCCCAGCGCGGGGCCTGTGCGGCTGCCAGGCCACCCCCAGAAGAGCCTGGCTCGCTTGTGCTCGACACTGCTGTCTCGAAACTATTTGGAATGAAGGGCATGTTGTGCAAGGCCCTCTGAGGGGGACTCTGTCTCTGGCAGAAGGGAGCTCCAGACCCTCACAGGCCCGAGCTCCGACTGCCCCGACATCACCTGCCGAACGACACCATTGGCCCCGTGCATCCCTGGAGACTGTTTGCTGTTGGCGTTGTGCCCATCCGCCAAGTGCAGTGACTCTGGCCCCTGCCGGACTTGTCCAGCACTGGCCTTTACTGCTGAGCGGTCCAGTGTCCGGTGCCCGGTCCAGCCTTCTGGCTGCTGTAGCAGCCAGATCTCTCTGTGGAGAGATCTCCACAGAGATTTTCACAAAGCCCTTTGACCTGATTCAAACCTGTGACCTCTGCTCAGACCACGGCCTGACCCCTGCACTGCCTCTGGCCCTACCTCTCTGCTCTGCTCTCTCCCAGCTCCTCTCTGCCCCCATCTGTCAATAAAGGCTGAGTGAGCCCTGCAGGTCTAGTTGCGGGGCTGGCGAGACCCCACTGCCCATGCTCGGCTTCGGCTTTGGCGCAGGCTGGGCGCACAGCCACAGGCGGGCAGGTCCGGGCAGGCCTGAGCCCCTTCGCTCACAGCCTCCCTGCCCCAGGCCAGGCTTCTGGTGGAACCTTCCAGCTTGCCCAGGTGTGGATGTGGCCAACCTGCAGCCCCCACCCCCACCCCAACAACACCCCATGAGGAAAATGGGGGCATCTCAAAACAGCCTGAAAAGTGGGGCCATCAAGAACCACCACCCCCACCCCCACCCCCGCCCCCTTGATAAGAGCTGATGGCCTTGAAAGAAAGGACAGGCACAGCCCAGTTCTCCCCTGGGGCCAGCAACGCCTGGTCATCTCTTCTCCGTGGGAGGCAGGCATGGGGAAGGCCAGGGAGCAGGACAGGTGGCCTGCAGCTCCTGAGGGGACACGTCCTGAGGACAGAAGCCAACATTGTGATGTCACAGCCTGGCGGGGGCCTGTGTTGCTGGAGCACCCCCTTCTGAGTGAATGGTCTGGGCGCCTGCCGCCTCCCCACGCTCAGGTAGCAAAGTCTGAAGCTTGCAGTCCACGGGCGCTGACCCATAGCCTCTCCCATTCCCTCCCTGGCCCCCAAGCTGAGGCCACCCAGACGGTGTCTGTGAGCGTCCAGCCAAGAGAGACTGCCTTCTCCTTTTGACCATATTGGGGGCCCAGACCCCGGCAGTGGCCGGGAGGTTCTTCTCAGGCTGTGCTAAAATACCTGTGAACTAGCCCGTCTCCCCAGCTCGACCTTGGGCTTATTCATCTGTCTCTCAGTCTCTGCTCATCTGTAAGCCTCTGGTGCTCAGAATAAGAGGTGTCAGTCAAGGGATAAGTGGGTGGTGATGGGTGGGGAGAGAGAGCAGAGCCCCGCCACCCCCTCCCCAACCAGCCCCTCCCACGGCTCTATGGTGCTTTGCTGAAGCTGGTGCAGGTCCCAGGCCTCTTGGCATCTCTGGGACTTGACAGTGAGGGGCCCTACCAGTTACAGGGTGGCACAGAAAGACACTTTTCATCCTCCTAGACCCGGGGGCACAGCTCACAGGCCCCGGACTTTGCATGAACGAGCCCCAAGGGCAAATCCTGCCCTGCGAGTTGCCCTTGAGTGAATCACAGGCCCCTCTGAGGCTCTGTTTCTGTTTCTTTGAAGTGGGATAGTCACCCCTGCTTCGGGAGACTGGGAGGATCAGCGAGAAGCTGCACGGGACAGTGGCTGGTGCCAGCCCCTCCGGCCTGCTCGAGTGGCCCTCATCTTTCAGGGGCCATGGACACCGGCCCACACTGCGAAGCGGTGGACCCCGGCAGCAGCCCCAAGGACAGAGTGCTGCAGGTGCTCATACCGGAGCTCTGGCACCTCGAGGCCAGGTACGAGCTGCCCCAGCCCCTCTGAGCCCGAGCTCAGCCCGGGGTCCCCCACGGTGGCTGGGTGGCCAGGGCCGGCGTGGAGGCTGAGGGGCAGGAAGCAAACTGGGAGGGGTGGTGGTGAGGGCAGTGGGAGGCTGGACTTCCACCTCAGACCTGGGCCAGTCCGAGGCCCCTGCTGAGAGAAGGGCAGTGAGTGGCCTGACCTGTGCACCCCCAGGTCAGCTCCTCCCCCTAAAAACAAGCTGTTGGGTGGCTGCTCTGGCTTTGAGGGGGGCCTTGAGCCCTCATCCCCAGGTGCTCCTCCAAAGCAAGTGTGTCAGCGATTTTGTGGAGAAAAGGCCTAAACCTCCCATCACACCCTCAAGAGGTTCCCTGACCCCAAAAGGAATGAGCACCATACCTCCTGGGTCCCCGCCTGGAGTCTGTGGGCAAAGACATTTGCCTGCATTTCAGGGTGATGAGGAGAAGAAAGTGGGCCCAAGAGGCAGAGCTTGTCCTGGGCCCCGGCATTACCCACCACCTCAGCCCCTGCCGTTCAGCCCGAGGTCGCCCATCCTGCCCTCTGCCCCCAGGGCTGAGCATGACTGCCAGAGACAGGGCTGAGGGGCCCACCTTGCTTAGGCCACCCTGCAGCCTGCAGCTGTCTCTCCTCTGGGGACAGCCACAGGAGATTGCTGCTGCCCCAGGCTCGGTCTGCATCAGCCTGGGAGGGAGAGACACTGTTGGGGCCAGGTCACTCGCAGGTTGGGACTCTGCCTTCAGGGAGGTGCTGTGAACCCCTGCACCAGAGCGACAAAGGCCTGCCACCCACTGAGGGGCGGGAGGGGCGGGGTCAATGCAGGACTGAGCGGGGTGGTCACCTGGGGCCTCCAAATCAGGTCCTGGGGTCTGGACCTCGCCGCCCTGGCATGTCTCCACAGGCAGAAGACGCTGAAGAGAAAGGTGGAAAAATACAAGCTTTTTGAGGACTATCTGATTAAAGTCCTGAAGAAAATCCCCAAGGGTACGTGTGTCCTTCTGCAGAGGCGCTGTCTTCACAGGGCCACCGCTGGCTCTGGGCCGGCGGCCTGGCTAATGGGGACCCCCGTGCAGATGGGGGCCCCAGAGACGAGGCCGCCGGGACGGGGCAGGGCACAGCTGCAGGCAGCCCGCCTGGGCCCGGCCCCGCCAGCCTCACTGGCCGCCTGGACAGCTTGCTCGGCCAGCGGGAGGGGCAGTGGGGTGCTGGGTGGCAGGGAGCCCGCAGCCCGGGGAGTCAGTCAGCCTGCGGAGAGTTAGCTGTGTCATCTGGTTGGTCTTTGGTTCTGCTTTTTGTTTTGCTGTTATCAGCCACAAGTGCAGGATCTGAAATGGCTCTGTGTAGAGATGCTCATGGGGCGCCCGCCCGCTGTCCTGAGTGCCCAGGAGGGAGGCAAACAGGCACTTTTATCATCATCATCATCATCCTTCTCTCAATACATCAGCAACAAAAGCAACATTAGCGTTCATCAGATATTTACTGTGTGCCAGGCTCTTTGGTAAACCTTTTTCATTAAGAAACACCATGTATGTTTTAGGGGTACAGGGTCACACCTCCGGCGCTGTAAGTCACCACAGTCACCCCCACCGAGCCCAGGGGACCCTCCGCCCTCGGCTCCCACCCCCACCCCCCCACCCCCTGTAACCTTAGTTCTGCAGTCTGAATCCAAGGGTGTGTTTGGGTTTGCTTTTGACAATCCTCTTTGGTTTCTCCTTAAGAGTTTCTGAATATGGGGTTCCCGGGGTCAGAGAGGTTAAGGAAATTGTTCAAGTTAGCCCAGCTGGGATGTTGCAGGGGCTGTCTCGGCTCTGGTCTGTCTGACATCACAGCCGCTGTGCCGAGTGCGAGGGGCCCGTGGGAGCCCTCAGGACTCTGCCCTGGCGGTCAGGGGAGGCTTCATGAGGAGGTGGCCTCTCCGCGTGCCAGGGCCCTGCAGAGGGGCGTGGGGGTAAGGAGACCAGTGGGCTGGAGCTCAGGGAACTGAAGGCGCCGCTGGGAGACGTGGCTGGCGGGTGAGCAGCCCCGAGGGCCGTGGGCAGCAGGCCAAGGACAGGTGCAGGCTCTGAGGCTTCTGCAGCTTCCTGTCTGGCCTCACAGGCGCCCCCTGTCAGCTGTTTCCCCTGGACACAGTCCCCGGCCTCCCGGGGGCCCCTGCATCTGAACCTGTTCTCTCAGCTGTGGGCGGTCTTTGGGATGTTGAGGCTACTCATGAAGAGGCAGGGGCTGGGCAAGGGGCCGCTGGTGAGGCAGGCCAGCTTGGTCAAGCCCTGCATGGATGGTCTGTGACTTCCCAGTGTGGGGCTGGGGTCCTGGGGGGAGCCCCGTGCACCAAGGTGGCAGCACGCGTGGCTGGGGGCGGGTGAGGCCGGTCGTCTGCCCACTGTCCCTCAATGGCACTGTCTCCCTAGACTGCAGTGAAGGGGTGGAGCCGGAGGGGGCCCTGGTGGACGCCCTGGTGGAGCACTATGGGAAACTCTTCACGGCCAGCCAGGACCTCCAGAAACATCTGGAAGCCTTTTCCAGGATGAGCCAGGCCGTGCACCAGATCCTGGAATCTCTTGAGGAGGGCTTTCGGATCGTTATCCCGGTACAGCTCCTTAAGTCAGCCCATGTCCCTGCCCCAGAGACCTGGGGGCGCAGGGCCCCTTCCGCCTGCACCCCCAAGGAGACCCGAGAGGCGACGGCCCACTGAGAGGGTGGTTCGCTCCAGAGTCTCGCTCTAGCACTCACTCTGCCCTTCTGCTGGCCGAGTCCAGGTTTCTCCTGAGCCCCCAGCTTATGTTTAAAAAGTGTCACTCCAGGTAGAAAGCCTGAGTTCTGATTCAGACAGACTAGGGTTCAAATCCCAGTATGACCTCTGATGGGCAGCAAGACTGGCAGGAGCGGCCCCTCTCTGGGCCTCAGGAGGCGGCACACTGCAGGCCCGAGAGCCCGCCCCAGGCAAAGGCCGGTAGGAGCCTGAGCCCAGCTGGCCGCTGGTGGCGGCTTGCACAGGACCATGCGACTTTTGCGGTAAGTCTGCCCCCTAGTGGGGGCACTGGGTGCTGCAGCATCGTGTACCTTTTCCCTGGAAAAGCTGTGAAAGGCGCTTTTCCCTGAAATCTCACCGGCGCACCTGGAAGGAAGGGCTTTCACTCCCAAGTCTGGGTCTGTGGGAGTGAGGTGAGAGCCTGGCTTTCTTTAAAATGTTCATGATTTGCTTATCAGAGGGGTTTTTTCGGGCATGAAACTTCTAAAATTGTATTAAAATGAGTTCTCCTAATTACTGACTTTTTACCCCCCTTAACCTTTTACCTGAGTCCCAACCAAGCTGTTCTTCCCATGTTTGAAGTGAGGAAACTGAGGCTCACAGAAGCCAGGACACTTGCCTATCTTGGTCCCATAGGGAATCCAGCTAGAGGCGCTGTGGCCCTCACACCCAGGCCTGGGCCCCAGAAGTTTCACAGTCTTGCTCCCCGGAGCCCTCCCAGCAGCCTCCAGGGAAGGACACAGGGTTGGCTCTGTTTATGGACAGGAAGACGGGGCTGAAGGGGCTGAGGCAGAATGCAGACCCTACTGGCCTGGCCATGCCCTTTCTTGCGTCTTCTGGTGCCCCTAACAACCCTGGCCACAGGGGTAGAATTTTCCCTGCCTCCCACCTCCAGCAATACCCAGACCAGCCTGGGCAGGGATCTCCCCAAGCCCAGGCCCAGGGGCAGTGCCCTTGGGTGGGGGGTGGCTCCCTAGGTGACCCAGCCCCTCCCACTGCAGGGCCTCAAGATCCAGCTGTGTCAGCTTCAGAAGAAGTGTCACCGCTGGCAGGACCTGGGGTGGCACAGGGGACAGGGAGTCACCTGTCAGAAAGACCTGGACTATTATCACGTGAGTCCAGTCCGCTGGCCCTGGGTGGGGGCAGGGACGGGGGCTGCTGTCTCCTCAGGGGTCTTCACCCGCCACCCGCCACCCCCCACAGATCATGTACCCGCTTACCTCTCCTTGGTGGCTGTGAGTTTTCAGAGGGCTGAGGCTGCTCTACGATGGGACAGCGGGTCTTGAGATGGGGAAACGGAAGCCACGGGGTGTTAAGGATCAAGCTCTACCAAGAAGCCGAATTGGGGCGCTCTGTCCAGCGCAGGGCCTGGCATGCCCTTCTACATGCCAGAGACAGGCTTCTCCACTTTCCACAGTGCTTGTGGCTACTGGCTGTGGAGAGGCGTTAGGGACAGCCACTCCACAGCCACTCCACAGCCTCCCCGTGAGTTCCCGGTTCAGCATCGCCAGGCAATGCCGAGCTCAGGGCCTGACCTGCATCAGATGCTCCCGAAAAAGCCTTTGGTCTTACACAGTTTTCACAGAAAAATGATGCCGGAAGTATACACCATCGCCAAAGTCCATGGCCAGGGGCCAGGATTTAGCGGCTTAATCTCTTGAACTGCTCCCTCCTGGCCTTAGACCCCCCGGTCCGCACCATATGTCTGTGCTCTTCTGGATGCAGGAATCCTCAGGCCCCCTGGGAGTCTACTTTGGGACGCTTGAGGATAAGGACACATGGACTGCTGAGCCCTAACCCAGAAGGGTGGTGGCATGGATTGGCCACATTTTACAGAGCCACTTCTGGGTCTTCCTCTCTAAGGTGAGAAGTCAGTCTGCCACAGCTGACCATAGACTCAGAGACCTGAGGTCCAGGAGCCTGGTGCTGTCTGGATCGAGGAGCACTGGATCCTCCCATACCCCGTCTCAGCTCCTGCCACAGGTGTGGACCATGTGACTCCAGCCAGGAGGACCCACTGAGGAGAGTCAGCCCATGTTCCTCTTTGCAAGGGGTAGGGATGCTCAGATCCTGGGATGGGAAGAGGCACATCTCAGCCCCTTTGGGACCGGGGCACTGATCAAGAGGAGAAGGTGGCCTCTGGCTGCAGGTCACTTCTCTAGCCTGAGTGAACAGGGGTAGGGGGTGCTCTGAAAAAGACTGAGTCTCCTCCCCCTCCTCTCACAGAACCAGCTGCTCAACTACATGCAAATGATCATTGACAACATGGTCCACCTGTGCTGCCGCTCTGCCCACCACGAGCCCAGTGACATGGACCTCTTCTCAAAGCTTGACCTGATTCAGGTGTGACTCTTTGTTTCACATTTTGAGGAATTGTCAAACTGTTTTCCAAAGTGGCTGCATAACCTTACAATCTCATACTAGATGTGAGGTATCTAATTTCTCCAGCTCCTTGTCCACACTTGGTATTGTCTGTCATAATTTAGCCATCCTAGTGAATCTGAAGTGGTATTGCATGTAGTTTTAGTTTGCATTTCCCTGATAACTAATAGTGTTGAGCATCTTTTCATGCGTTCATTGACTATTTGTGTATCTTTTTTGAGATACACAAAAAAATAACAGTATTTTTCTCATTCTATGAGTTGTCTTCCTATTTTGAGGGTGCCATTTGAGGCACACAAATTCAATTTTGATGAAATACAACTTGTTCTTTTCTTTGATTACTTTGATTTTTTTCTTGATTACTTATACTTTAGCATTCTCAAGTAGGACATTATTGCCTAATGCAAAGTCAAGAAGAGTTACATGTCAGTTTTCCTGTAAAAACTAGCTTTTGTTCTATTATTTCAGTTTATGATTGTATTTTTAGTTAGCTCTTTTTAAAAATATTTATTTATTTATGCTTACAGAATTGGAGTACAGGCCTGAGGTGTGAGGGGTAAGAGGATTCACCAGAGACAGAGTGGAGAGCAGAACAGGCAGATCAATGAAGTACACTGCTGAGGGGAGCAGCAGGTGGATCAGGAGAGGTCTGCCGCGCCATGTGGTCACCTCTGGGCCAGGGATGGAACGCGGTGCGGCAGTGGCTGTGGCTGTCTTCACAGTGCTGTGCTTGAACACCAGGGAGAGCCGTAGTTAGCTCTTATATCTGGTATGAGATAGTGGTTCATTTTGTTGTTGGTGGTGGTGGTGGGTGTTTTTTTGCATATTTAATTTTCCTGATATCATTTGTTGAAAAACTATTCTTTTCCCAATTGAATTATTTCTTATCCTTGTCAAAATTGGCTGGCTATGGCAGTGTATTTCAGTTAATCTGCTCCCCACTCTGTCTCTGGTGAATCCTCTCACCCCCCACACTTCTGCTCTGTACCCCAGTTCTTGTGTGCTTAAATAAGTCTTTTTAAAAATTGGCTGACTGTGAATGTGAAAGTGTACCTCTGGGCTCTCAGTTCTATTTCATTTAACTCCTGTCCACTCTCACAGCAGTTCCCCACTCTCTTGATTACTGTAGCTTTACAGTAAACTTTGAATTTTGGGAAGGGCGAGTGAATCCTCCAATTTCATTCTTCCTATCTGAGGTAGTTTGACTCTTCTGTCAGGTGTGTCTTGCATTATAAGTGGAAGTTTGATGGCTGAGAGGGTTTCAGGTATGGTGTGATCCAGCCTCCCTGAACCATCAAGACCCTGCCCTTCCCTCCAGCTCCTGTGGGCCATCCCACATCCTAACTCGCTTTCCTCACTGCCCAGACCCTGCCAGACCCTTTCCCGTGCTGTCGAGTAGCAGCAGCACCTCCTGAGCAAGCCGACATCCTAGCCAAGAAGGACCCCATGGGCACTACCAGGTCTGCTCCTGGCATGGTTCCAGGGGCACTCACATAGAAGACCAGGTCATTGGCCTCCTCTGGGGCCTGACTTCTTCCCACGGCAATATGAAGCATGCAATTTTGAGTGAGGGCACATTGGTCTAAATAGTCACAGAGTATTCACTTCCTCTTCCCAAGGAAATGGAAGAAATGACACAGTCTGGCCAAGGATCTCCCACAACAATCACTCAACCGCCACCCAGCATCAGCCCCAGGTGCTCAGCATGGTGCCAGGGTGGGAGCTGGAGGAACAGGCTGGTGCAGGGTTGCCTGCCTTGCCCTTAAGAAATGTATGCCCTCTTAGAGGGAGGCTGGGGCAGTCAGAGCGGGCTGCCTGGTGGGGGCGCTGAGAAGAGACAGGTGATTTCATTCAGGGATCACAAAAGGACCAGACTCCAAATCTGCTGCCGCCATTGGGCTGTGCAGCTTCAGGCAAGTGGCCGAAACTCTCTGTGTCTTGGTTCGCTCATTTGCTAAGTGGCAGTGATGTCACAAGCTCTGCAGGACCCTCATGGGAGCGAGAAGAAATGCAGGAGACCTCGATGGCACTTTGGTCCCTGAGAAGTGGGGCCCAGGGGCCCCACTGCCAGCAGGTGAGAGAGACTGATTTTTCCTCCCAGGAATTCATTTTGGACAAAATGGAGACGCTGAGGTTTTTCTCACCACCCAAGGAACCCAGAATATGCTGGCCCAGGAGCGACCTCAAGGAGAACCTCGGAAGATGCCCCAGACTCTTCAGGAAATGACCAGAGTCAAGATGTCATTTCAGGACCCCCTTTCCCTCAGAGCACCCAGAGCCTGTGCTGAGCCAGCCCGCGGCCCCGTGGGCATCACGACCATCTCTCCACCCGAGTGGCCTCCTGTCCTCTGCACTGGGCCTCCGCATGGGTGGGAGCCAGCCTGTGCATAGTGGTGGGTAAGAGGGCAGCGTCCTGGGGCCAGCTGGTAGGGGTTGCTGTACCCCATATTGGAGACTGCCAGGGACCTGGTGAAGACTGCCTGGGACGTGGGGAAGGGAGAGGGGCCCTGGATGCAGAGGCAACAGCAGGGGGGAAGACCCTGCCCTGGAGGTGGTGGCTGCCCTTCTCATGGGCTTTGTTTCGAGACAGGTCGCTGGGGTGGATGCCTGGGTTTGGGAGCATCTTAGTTGCAGGGGCCTTTACAGACAGCCCCCCCCCCCCGAGTATGGGCGCGTGGGAGCCTGCCCTGTCAGCAGCAGGCTGGGGAGCCCAGCACACTGTGGGGCATTGCACGTTCATCCTGGAAATCTTCAGAAGCTTCAGACGGCGTTGGCGTTGGGGCCTCCTGCCCACCGAGGGGCCCAGCTACGTGGAATGGATGCTGCCCTCAGGGGCTCCTAGTGGGTAGAGCCCCTCCCCCGCCTCTTTTCCTGCACAACTGGGTGAGGGGATGTCTGAGGGAACCCCCTCTCCTGGCGCCATTCCGAGGCTTGACCAGTTTGACCTGGGTTGATTGTGCCGTGGACTTAAAACCATCCCAGCAGCCTCCGCAGCTCTGGAAAGTCCTCACCCTGTGTCTGCTCATCGCATCGGGTGAAGGTTGAGGGTTAAGAGCAACTGAGTTGCTGTGGACAGTGGTGAGTCAGCAAACCACTCTCAGAGGAGTCTCAGGGAGGATGCTGGACTCAGGGCACCGGGCGGAGGTGTGTGGAAGGGGCCGAGGCTGGGGTGGGCGGGGGGCAGAGCAGGCCCCCGCGGGGTTCATGGGGGAGCTGCATAGACAAAGGAGGCTGTGGGCACAGAGTCTGAGCAAAGGGAGCCGAGAAGGAGCACCCTCTGGAGTTTCTGGTCTCGGAGCTTGGCGCAGAGAAAGCTGTCAGGACCTGAGTCGGATTCTGGACAGAGAACTTGAGGGGCCGGGGGCCAGCGAGGAGAACACGGGGCGGAGACTCCCGCCCTGGAGCAGTCTGAGGAGGTGGGTCAGGGTCCAGCGTGGGGGCCCAGGGGCCTGTCAGAGGCCACACAGGAGGGTCCACGCATGCCACAGACAGAGTGCCGAAACAGCAGGCGCTTCTGTCTCAGTCTGGAGGCTCCAAGTTCAAGGTCAAGCAGGTTCTGAGCCTGGTGAGAGGCCAAACTCTCCTGCAGCCCTTGTGGTGGAAGGGACAAGGGATTTCTGGGCCCTCGGGGTTCTCCGTGGCCTCTACAGACACTGGAATCCCTACATGAGGCTTCCACTCCCGCCCGCTCACCTCCAGAGGCCCCACCCTAACGCATGGCATTGGGGTTCTCAACCTGTGAATCCAGGAGAACATAGACGTTCAGACCAAGGGAGGAAGCTGCTGCACTCCTACCTCTCAGTTCTCTCTCTCTCTACAGCACTGACATTCCAGAGAGATCTAAAGTACCCCATGATTGCCAATAATGTGGGCACATGAGGACAATGATTCTTAGATTTGATCTAAGCATCTAAGGACGGTGGGGAAGGCAATGAGCCACCCCACACCTGCTGGACCTGAAGATCTGGGGTGGTGAGGCCTCACAACCTGCATTTCTAGCAAGTACCAGGTGATGCTGATGCCAGTGTGTCGGGGACCAACCCCGATTTCAGGTTGTAGAGAGGCTGTCACAGGCAGATTCTCAAGGTGGGAACGACGTCGGCGAGGCGATATTCTACAAATTGGAGAGCGGGAGTGAGGAAGACTCGGGAGTCGGAGTTGGGTGCAAGTCTTCCTGCTCTGCCTTCAGCAGAGGTTTATTTTTATACATTAGGAGCAAGCAGTGGGATGACATCAGCACAGGAACTGGGCTGAGAGATTACAATCATCTTTTTTTTTCTAAGAACAGTTTGGGGTTGTTTTGACCCTTGCTTGAGATTACAACATTCTAAAATCAATCAAGGTAAAAAAACAGGTACATAAGTGCACAAAGTCTATGACTAATATTACTATAGTGGAGATCAACTAAGATAGAAGTCCCTTAAACCTTATCTACTATTTAATGGGTTTTTGTTTTTCTGCCTGAGTCATCCTGGGAGGCAGAAGAGGAAATTCCTTGCTGATCAAATCTCTGAATAGGAGACATAGGTGGATTTCCTTTCCTGAAGACTACATAGTAGAATCCTGAAAGACTAGGCAGAAGACTTTTGTGGATTCCTATAAGGTGTAGCAGGTAGAAAACTTGACTAGTTTCAAAACAAGCAACCTGGATGAATTCCACATCTAAAGGCCAAACAATAGGAAGTTTGAGTAATTCTTTAAAAAGCTGAATAGGCTAGGTGAGATAATAGAATGATAAGATTTGGGTTTTCCTCCATCCATCAGGCAGTGAGAGAGACTTTGCAGAAACAGCCCTTTTGCTTTTATTTATCAGTCAGTAGTCAAGTCACTTGACTTCAGGGGAATTTCTCACCCTGGTGCAGTGCTTGCTTGTCAAGGCAGGCAGGCCTTATGCGGCTGAAGCAATCCAGTTGTAAGCTGAAAGTTGCTCAGAATATTTTGATATTATGGTTATACAAAAAAGGGAGGTCATAACATAAGTTAGCGTGGAAAGTCTGATTTTTCAGAGCAATTCCCCTCCATCCGGACTGTGTCTGACGACAGAGGTTGCATAGCTCGTGTCACCAGTGGGCTCAGGCCCACACCCTAAGTTGCCTGAGTTGGGCTCTGCCCCACCAAGCACCACCTCCCTGCCAGTCTCCAGCTCCCCGTCTGCAGGATGGGGCTGGGCCTGGCACTCTGAGAGAGCTGTCCCCACCCCCCCCACCACCCCAGTGCCGGCTCGCTGGCTCCCTGCCTTCACCGACTCTGCACAGCCATTGTCTCTCGTCTGCTGCCACCTGAGTGCACCTGCCTTACACGTGTCGGTCTCGTTCAGATGCTCGCTCCTAGGATGACCCACACAGGTCCTGGGGCAGCTGTGCCCTGGCCCGCTACCCATGTTTGCAGCCAAAGGGGCACCCCGTCTTCCAGGAGCCCCCAGCCTCCCCACGGGCAGGGCACGAGTCATACAGTTGACATGCAGGGCCCAGGCCTCAGCCCTGACCTGTGCCTTGACAGCACTCTCCTGGGTTCCACATTAGCTCAAGGCCCTCTGGGGAGTTTGGAGGAAAAAAACAGTGGTTCTAGGAGCCTCGGAAAATGCCGTTTCACCTAAGAGCCCATCCAGGCGGGAGGCTGGTAGCTGGGAGCGCCAGGGGCCAGGCGTCTTGCTCACTGCCGATGAACTCCGGCTCTAAGCAGTTCCCAGTGTGAGAAAAGTCTGTCCTGGAGACCGCTGGAAGAGCTGGACTATGCGCAAGTGACCGGTAGCCAACTTTGGCTATTTGGTAAGAAAATGTAATTTTGCCCTTTCACGCCATCTGCAAGGGGCAGGTGCCGGGGCCCAGCGTGTGCTGCTCTGGGGTGAGTGCGGCCGCACGGCCCTGGGGCCCTCCCTGAACTCACAGGCCACCGTGGCAGGAGCAGTCGGATGGGAGAGAAGGGAGGAGGAGCCACGCGCGTATGTGTGTGTGTGTGTGTGAGTGTGTGTGAGTGCGTGTGTACACATAAGTGGTAACACGCAGATATTCAGTACATTTAGTTTTCTGTCAGTTACTAGTCTATTCGTTACTAAACGGTCTGGGTAGATGCCCACGGAGACAGGAAGATACGGTGAAGATGTGTGTCTATAAAATTGGCTGAGAGTCGGGTGGGGTGAGGGGTTCTCGAATTTTCTTTTCACGAAGAGCGTAGCCCTTCATGTTAAAAAAAAAATCGAAAAAGGTGATCTAAGACCTTCGTACAACTTGAATTTACTTTCCAGCGCTGCGTAGACATGGCGGGAAGGGCTCCCCGTGGCTGCTCATTCGCCTACACACCTCCCATGCCAGAGGAAAAGGAACTGGGGCTCCTGCAGTCTGGGTCCTCAGGCCCGAGGGGAATGGAACACCTTCGCGCATTTATGTTTCATTTACAGCTTTATGTAAGTGAATCATCATTCCATGTACACAGCTATTTTGTTTTTGTACAAAGAAATCCTGTTTCCTCCTGTGCAAATCTGAGTGAGCCGGAGGATCCAGAGGCAGCTCCGAGTTCCAGCTGCTCTTCTGCAGAGAGGGGGTGGCCCCGGGGCCCTGGGGTGGGGGCTGGTGCTCACCTCCTGTACTCTCCATTATCTGCAAACATTGGCTCGAGTTGCAAGAAGCTTTCACCAGCTCCTCCAAGGCCAGGCTCTCTGAGGCTGCTCTCTAGGGGCCTAGCAGTTTTCCAGGAATCCCAGAGCCCAGGGTGATCCCATTTCTCATGTCCTGGGAAGGGGTGCCGGGGGTTCGCACAGGTGTCCCCCACCTCCCACCCCCTCCGACTCCCACATCCACTTCCCACCCCGCCCTCCCCCGGCTCCTGTGTCACCCTTGGTACTTGGGTGCTGTCCACCCCCCACCTCTGTCCCCTTCATCACGCCCTCGTCCCTGTCCTTCCTCCCCAGCTCTCCTCTCTGAACTCAGGCGCCCTCTCTGGGGCGACTCCTTCTACTCTCCCTCTCACAGCAGCCACAGCAAGCTCTAAAGAGCCACATCTGGCCACAGCCACCCTCCCTCCTGCTTCTCCCTGGCTCCTTATTGCCCATAAGACAAACCCCGGCCCCACTCCAGGCCTGCAGGACCTGCAATCCACATGCATGCTGGGTGCTTCTCCAACCTCGCTCCTCTTTTATTGCTCCAGCCCGACTGGCCCACGCAGCTCCTAGAACTTACCAGCTGTCCCCCCAGATGACCCTGCCCCCCATCTCTACTTCTTTGTCCCCTG